TAGTAATGACCCTAAGACACGGGCAACCAGAAGTTTGAACCCAACGAGCTTGTCGTTGGTAAACAATCATCTGATAGCTTGCTATGCTTCGCAGCGTCTGGTCATCTTTTCTTACTTCAAGAGATCATGTAGTACAACATAGTAATAAAGAAACAAGGTACAATGAAAATTTCGGTTCATGGTAAATTCGTCGACCCTTTATTTTCGTTTCAAGCCGTCCTTGAAAAGAAGAAAGGGATATGGTAGTGCATGTCGAAAGACACTTTTACGCCGGTAAAGACACAAAGCGGGTGAAAAAAGGGAAACTCATGCACAGGCGACGGCATAAAAAACGATTTTTACAGAATGGTTTCTTTTATTTTTGTTTGGAAAAGTTTTAATACACATATATTACCAAAAAACGTTTTTGATAAATATACAAATGTAAGCATATTAAAATTGTTTTTTATATTATATATAATATAAAGAAAAATTGAGACGAAACAAAACGTTTACTAGTGCCGCACGTGCAATAATCGTTCAGACGTTCTGGAAATCTTACTCTTCTTCCAGAACTCGTTGTTTTGAGTCTATTTTCTGTAACTGCCAAAGCATCGTCGTGTGTTGGCTATCAGATGAGGTATCATGAGTGTATTAGTTGTGTCTTTCGGTTGTACCGAATGAAAATCGACATGCATAGGGTTTCCTTCAAAGTACGTCGTTTGATGCGGTCGATGCTGATGCCATAGTCAGTTCCATTCTTATCGACTATATGGTCCCTCGTATGCTGATTCGAAAGGTCGTCGATGCGAGTCTCGACGAACGAAGACGTGAGTACTATATCGTAAATCAGGTTGAACAAAAACGTCAGTTGACTGCGGAAACAGGTTTAACAGAACGCATCGCGTTTGTAAGCCTTTTCGTGTAGGAGGTTAGATCTATGTTCATTGAAGAGGATGAAGGATCCACGAATTCTCCTGGAAGTCGAAGTGTCATTCCATAAACGAGCTGAGCCGCAAAGTATTCACTGTCAGCTTTCACTGCATTGCGGATACCTAGTAAGACGAGTGCAAAAGCGTCAGTCCACTGAGAAATGTTTGCAGCTGATAGTGAAGCTTTTATTTGCCAGTGAAAGCATTCTACTAACCCGTTTGCTTGTGGATGGTAGGCGGTCGTTCGGAAGCGAGTGATTCCTAAAAGTGTGGTCAGACGACGGAAAAGATCGGATTCAAACTGACGTCCGCGGTCTGTAGTGATGGTTGAAGGGCAGCCAAAGTTTGCTACCCATCGTTCGACGAAGGTGCGAGCCACTGTTTCAGCAGTGATGTCCTTGATAGGTACTGCTTCTGGCCATCGAGTGAAACGGTCAACGTAGGTTAAGAGATAAGAGTATCCATTTGAATCTGGTAAAAATACTACTAAATCCAGATGAACATGGTCGAAACGAGCATCGGGAGTTTTAAATGAACCTAAGGGACATTTATTGTGTCTGATAACCTTAGATTTTTGACAGCTTACACAGGAGCGTGCCCACTCTCTTACGTCTTTATTCATGCCAGGCCAGCAAAGCCGTTCTGCTATAAGCTTGATGGTTGCACGAACACCTGGATGAGAAAGTTTGTGCAATGTGTTGAAGACGTTGCGTCGATAATGTTTCGGCACGATTGGGCGATCCCCACCTGTAGATGTGTCACAAAGTAAGGTTTCGTTACCTGTTCCCATCTGTTTGATGCGTAGTTTAAGGGTTGTAGACGATAACTCGTGCTGAAGATCAGTGTCTTCTTTTTTAAGCTGGGCGAGTTTAAGAAGGTGGAGTGGTTAATTGTCCTGATCTGCAATCATTGTTGCTTTAGCGACATGTTCTTCAACTGTGGAGAATGCTTTTCCTGCGGTGTCATCTAAAGTGGTGGATTTTGCATTTCCACGAGGTTGATCAGTTAGCGGTTTCATAAGTGACGCGCATTTCGGTGTGAACCGTATATAGAAACTTACTAGGCCGTATTTGCTTGATGGTGGTCGGTTCTGTATAATCCAGCATGACCGCGAGTTTGCTTTTTAGAGGTCGAATGCCTTGCATATTATTAGTGTGTCCTAGGGAATCTAAGGAGTCGATTCAAATTTGACATTTCCGGATGTTTACAGTAACGCGATGTTTTTGCAGTCGTTCTGAAACAAGGTTATAATGTTTTGAATTATTTGAATTGTATTATGAACTAGGAATCCCAGAATTAACGCAATTGAACTAAGAAGTGAGACACGAGCACAAACGAATGTATTGTATTTGGAATTTGAAATCGAGCATTCAACAAGTACAAAGGTATTATTAGTTCGTTCAAACACCACACCCGCCACAGATTAAATAGAAGTATAAGTGTTTGCAATCGGTTGTACGTTTTCTTGTTAAGTTCATCCTGAGTCTGTCCGATATTGTATAAGATAAAAACTTTGTAGTATCTAGAAAGTGCTCATTAGTATTGGAATTAACAAGCGAAGTCGGAACAGACTCACCTGGAATTGTATACAACCAGCATGTCGGTTTTGTAATGAAATAAATAATATCTAGAATTCGAACCATAGATTTTTTAACACAATCCTCCCCCACGAAATAATGTTGGATCTTTATATCCCCAAGTTATGAATTATGTGGCTTCGTTTAAAAGATATTCCTCACATTGTTTAGAGTAAACATTAGAACTGATTTTGTGATAAGGGTAAACAGCAGTTAATATGAAATCATCCGAAATGTAATTAAACTAGAGGTCACTTAGTACTCGTGCTTCGCATTGAGCAGGTTTTTCACAAGGATCAAATGCATTATGAGGATAGGTAGTATATGATATGACATCAGGATTTGATTCTTCTGAAATATTCTCATGAAATTCATTAGGACTGTCATTGCAGAGCGTAGGATCGTTAGAAAAATCAGCATCTATCCAAACCACATCAGGTTTTCGATCATGATTAGGTTCATTTAACATATTTTCCTCAGAATTGCAAGTAATTTCATTAGAAATATGTGAATCATTAGGAAAAGTCATACCTGGTACAACAGCATGGGAATTCTGATAAATCGGTTGATTAGGAACTGTTGTCTCACAAGAATTCTGGATTTCATCTAACACTGAACTGCCATATGACTCTGCACTGTCTTTTGAAATCGTTGATAAAGATAAATGATCATCATGAATATTCGACTCAGTAGAATCAGAATTACAAGACTTAATATTAGTTGCAATAAGATGAACATTAGCATTACAAACTGGCTGAACTTGTCCAACATCACGACATTTGAAGCACTTGGAATTACGAAATTTACATGAATAAAAAGAGTGAAACTTGCCATAGGACAAACACTGACCAAACTTGTCCCCATCCTCGTGAACTGCATCCAAACTCAATGAATTGTCTGCATAACCTTGAGTATGCACTGGGTCAGGATGACGTAGTAATGTAGTGGTGTTTTTTATATCCTCATGAATCATTTTACGAGATCTCCCTCCTTTACCGCATTCGAAATTTGTATACTGAACATAGTCTAGCAGCAGTTCCTTGAGAGTTGTATAAGGAAGCGAGATAAGTTTTTCTGGCATAGCCAGAGTTCTAAATAAGCTGTATGCTTCGTTTCCAATGAATGTGAGGAAATGTGCCACAATATTAACATCCTCGTCATCTTCCTTGGTCATAACCCAGATTTCGAACCTTTCAAAATAGTCCTCAAAAGCTTCAGAAGTTGAATGAATATCTAACTTTTCCATTGTAGGCTCCATCGCGACGCCAATATAATGTTTTGAATTATTTGAATTGTGTTATGAACTAGGAATCCCAGAATTAACGCAATTGAATTAAGAAGTGAGACACGAGCACAAACGAATGTATTGTATTTGGAATTCGAAATCGAGCATTCAACAAGTACAAAGGTAGTATTAGTTCGTTCAAACACTACAAAGGTCCAGATTGTGGAGGTGCGAAGTGTATGACATAACCCTGTTATGTCATTCTGCGTCATTTGAGGCTTTTCTTTGGCTGAAAAAGCCTCGACGTTAGAAGATTTCGTGATTTATGAAATGCGGTTGGCAGATGCAGCTAGCTCGTCTAAGGCGTTGTTTTGGAACGAAACCAGCACAACTTGCACCTGCTGAGGAAGTTTGGACAAGAAAAGTTGTTTAAATAGGCCATCATCGAACGTTCTTTGGCCGACAACCTCTCTCATTCGTTGCAACATGTCCGTCGCAGAACCTTGTTGCAGACCGATGTTATTGGGGAGTTGGTCTAACCTTTTTCTATCGGTTAGATCGTTTCAGTGTTTCTTAGGGTTCCAAAACATCACTAGTAAACATACTAGGTGTTACGTACTTGTTGGATTCGCGCGGTAGTGCCTTGACTACTGCGAGGAATTATGCACGTGTGTCGTTCACGCCGTGCTCGTAGAAGTCGGCTTCTGCGTAGCAGAACCAGGCTTCGATGTTGTCTGGCCAGAAGAGCATTAGTTGGGACGAAGGTGGGTACATAGTCTTAAGCTTAAGTAGTTTGGGTGTTTGTACCGTCATCGTGAAATATCACGTTCGAGAATGAACGAGTAATATATACATATATATAACCAAAAACACGAAAATATATCACAATATATGATGGTTGAAATATAGCAATAAAATACAGAATTCCAAAATAGAACAGACTCACAGTTTACGATTTGGTGTACCAGATCACGTTGGGCTCACCAATGAAGACGTCACAGGTATTCGGAGTTTGGCAATGATTTGACCAGTAACACCTAATATGAATCGTACCTACCAAGTAGAATCAAAAGACAGAAGAGAGGAGGTTAGAAGATATATTTGATATGCTATCAATATATCGAGAATCCACTGATCTAATCTGCTAGCCAGATTGAAGGAGTTGTTGGGCACGGCGTTTCCACTCGTGATCTGGTGCGGATGCATGACCGAGCGCCTTCAGGTAGGCGAGTCCATTAAAACTAATGTTGTCAGCATCCAGTGTCGAAGATTTACAGAGCTATTGATTGGGGGTTTATTTACCGCTACACTATTGTAGTTATTCGACCAGGCTTATGGGAGGATGTTGAAAATTTGGCACCTATCTACAATATCTGGACATAAGGGAGAAAAAATCAACTGGTCCAAATCGGCTCTTTACGAATATATTGAATATTGTGGTGTTTCCGAAGTGTAACATTACAAATTTATTCGTTACCTGTTTGGTATGGCACTTCGACTTGCTTCACGTAGACTGAGTCCAATAATCTCCTCAGTATATTTTCACTTCCAACAATGCGTAACACATATTTCTAGATACGTCATAGGAAAATCGGGTCAGCCACTAAATATGTCCCTTTGTTTGAAACGGTTCATATGCCGGAGACTAAGGTGACTACTTTGGGAAGTAACGGTTTTCGGATAGCTTCTGAGAACTGGAATACTCCTACATGCACGGTTTGTAACCCTACAATGGTTTCACTCGATTTTAGGTTGGCGTTTGGGTGGACGTCGGTAGTCGATATGAGACAGAATCTAATAATGGTGTGGCTCATTTCCTTGAGCACATGGCTTTCAAGGGGACTGAAAAGAGGAGTCAACAGTCTTTAGAACTTGAAGTGGAAAACAAAGGTGCGCATTTGAATGCATACACATCTCGTGAGATGACGGTGTATTATGCGAAGTGTTTTGTTGAGGATCTACCTTGGGGTACAGTTTATGATATTTTAATATGTACTACATAGCGGTTGAATTATTATCAGATATATTAAAGAACAGCAAGTTTGAGAATAGTCAGGTTGAACGCGAAAGAGGGGTCATTTTACGGGAAATGGAGGTCTGTTTAATCTTGTTTGATAAGTTTGTAGGAAATTGAGAGTAATTACCAGGAGGTCGTCTTTGATTACCTGCATGCAACTGCTTATCAAGGGACACCTCTTGGGAGAACGATTCTTGGACCTGTAGAAAATGTCAAATCTTTGAAAGCCAGTGATATGAAGAATTTTATCAAACAGAACTATAAAGCACCACGAATGGTGCTCAGCGCTGCAGGAGGTATTTGAAGGATTATTTCAAGCTAATTTTTCAGGAGTCGACCATAAGCAACTATGCGACCTCGCGGAGAAACATTTTGGCGATCTCCAGGCATCTTATCAGGAAGGCGAAGGGGTACCAAGCATACAACGCTGTCGTTTTACAGGCTCTGAAATTCGTGACAGAGACGATGCTATGCCAGTAGCTCATGCTGCGATAGCGTTCGAGGGTCCCGGTTGGCAGAGTTCAGACACATTAGCACTGATGGTTGCAAGCAGTCTGCATGGTGCTTGGGATAGAAGTTATGGGGGAGGATTTAATGTTGCCAGCAAGCTGGCCTCCAAGTTTTTTATGGAAAATTCGGTACACAGTTTCCAGCATTTCTTTACTTGCTACCATGATACTTCTTTATGGTTAGTAATGTTTTGGATCCATTAAGTTAAACTGAACCCATAACAACGTTATTTATATAGTTGAAATATGCATTGTCAAATGTTAGCAATAATTCAACAAGAAATATATTGCTTATTGTTGCGAAATTTCATGTCTACATGAAGAAAGGAAATCGACTAAGGATGACAGGAACTAAAATAACTGACAAATATTGTACAATGTAGCAAGCACCTAACCGGATTTTAGAATCAGCTTTGAACTGTGTAGGATAGTCACAGACTATACAGTAACTCTACGCAGTTATCCCAGCTATTCTTAGTCAAACTTCCTGCTCTAATTTATTAATTGAGTCATTTATGAATGAAAAAAAGTATTCGTCTCTCATTGTATACTTCTCAATTCCCACCAGAAGCTATTGATCTCTAAACCACAAAGCTTGCTTCGATCAATGTTGCAGAAAATTTCAGGTACGAATCGAACAAAGTGGGATCAGTTTCAAATGTACTTAGACTTATGTTGTAACATTCCTTACCAACACAAAAACTGAGTATTAAAAACAGATGTGAAAGTAATTTTCGGTGCAACGAAGAACGATATGCAAAATATATCTGATATAATCGTATGGGATATGATTTTAGGTTTTTTATATCAGTGTGTCAATTGGTTAATGTGATCAGACACTTGGCTTCGTATGACTGACTAGTGTGGTTAGTCTTGAACTTCTTTGCATTGCATTTCTTAATAATTAAAAAATTTCAGAAACCATGGTGTCAGGGTTTGCATTTGATATGAATTTTCTCTGAGTTTTGTAGGTTAGTCATAGTACCCTCAGTTGCCAGGTCACTGTACATGATTGTGTCCATCAACCAAATGCAAATATCACCATTTACTTCGTCACGTTTTAACTACGCGTCTGATATGACAATTGGGGTAAAACCCAAAAGGCTAGTGAATTAGTCTAAATGGATTTAAAGATAGACTTACTCATGGACCGGTCTGGATTAATGTCTAGTTTGATGCAGAAGATGTAGTTAAGCGTGGCAATCACCTGAGATACTTGAGTAGTCCTATCAGCTCTGGTGGGTCATAGTCCACTTCGAGACGAATAGGAAACTCTCTCCTGATTTTTGCTAACTTACCTTAAGGATTATGTTTGTGTTACCGCTAAATGTCTTCATTTACACGACACGGCTTATGAAATAGATGTTCCTTAATGCGAGTTATGTTTTTAAAAGCCTTTTTTTATCAAGGCACATGTTTAATTTGGTGAACCAATCAATACATATGTTGGTATCATTACCAAGGTTTAACTTGATAATTTCAAATAGATTGCGCAGTGGGTAGATTGTTATAGATAAAAATAGTATATTTGTAATATCCCAAAGAGTAGGAAACATAGATTTTCTAATGTCTCGTGACTCAGTATAAACCACTTCAGAGAACATAAGTTTTCTACTCATTGGGGTATTACAAACATATTTTTATTTACGATACATACGTTTCTCAATATTCATCGTACTTTTTCTTCGCACACGTAATACTTTCCTTTTTACTTGTATAAGTTAGCCTGTAGTTATATATCTCACTACTCGTCACGAAATTTTTAGGGGAGTTTACTTAACAGCAGAAAAGATGGGTTTGGGTGAATCTGTTGGAGAATTCCTTAAAGAATTTGTCCGTATGTGTACTCAGGTTACTCAGCATGAAATCGACAGAGCGAAGAACCAATTGAAAACACATCTCCTTTTGCAGTTAGATGGCACCACACCTATTTGTGAAGAAATTGGTCGGCACATGTTGGTGTATGGTCGTCGTATACCTATAACTGAATTGCTAGCCAGAATTGACGTAAGTTAGACTTTACGTACTTGGCATTTCCTTATTAGCTTCATATCGAAATTGCTTTCTTCCTGGGTTGTCAACTTAAATCCTATTTGGCTTATTTATGTTAATAACTAAAAGTTTGTTTACTTGTTTTCTCTGTTAAAACTTCATTCTGTTCATGATTCTACACATTGTTAAGCTGACAGCAATGTAATGACTTTTCTCAAACCATTTTCAGTTAGTTTATATTTATATATAGAATGAGCAAGTTTTGTAAGATAAACTCATTTGAGGATCTCGTACAAAGCTTACGAATTTAAAAAGTAGTTGATTTTCCCTGACATTCCGTCTGTAGTCTGTTAGTTTCACTTCATCGTCTGCATTATTTGTCACTTTGATAAAAAATATGGACTGTAACCAATGTGTCAAGAACCATTTATCGAATCAGTCATTGTAAAATTATCACCAATTGTGACCCCTCTAATTATTCTTTATCAGTTACAATAGCACATATATGAATGTCGTTCATTTTAAGTAAAGAAAAAGAATGTTGTACTTCATTTTGCTTAGTTTCTGATCATAGTAGTGAGTTCACAATATTTTTGATACTGGTCTTTTTATAACAGGTTTCTACCACCAGTTATCTGTTGTTCTCCAGAAAGTGCGTTCGACAGATATTGTAGTACTAGCCGGAGACTTGAATGCTCAGGTCGGGCGTCTAGGCACAGAAGAAGGTCGTTTAGGTGGCCGATGGGGACTTGTTGGTCATAGGACAGATAACAGAGACCGTCTACTGCAACTGTGCACAGACCACAACCTGTTTCTGGCTAGCAATAACTTTCGGCACAGTCATCACCGATGTGCCACCTGGCGTCCTCCCTCTGCATCTCAAGCCTGGACTCAGATTGATCACATCGAGATCAGCTACCGCTGGCGTGGTTGTGTACAAGACTGCCGCTCCTTTTGGAGTACATATCTGGACTCTGATCATGCCCTGGTCTGCGCCAAACTTACCTTACTTTTCAGTGGCCAACGAAGTGACCACCATCAAAGGATTGATGTCAGCAAGTTGGTTGCAACTTCTGTTGCAAGTAAGTATCGAACCGAACTAGCTTCTAGGCTAGCTACCATTCCACCGAAAAGTATAGATGAGCATTGGTTGCAATTGCATGACGCCATGAAAATGGCGGGTAAAAACAGCTGTGGGTTTGCGAAACGTCTCGCTTATAAGCACTGGATTGCTTCAGGCTCCTTACAACTCATTGAAGCCCGTCGGTCTACTCCGGGTGACCGTGAGTTTGGACACAAACGAAGGTTGTTACGTAATGAAATCGGGCAAAGCTTGCGTAAGGACCGAGAAACCTGGTGGTCGGAGCGTGCTAATGAGCTGGAAGCAGCAGCTGCATGTGGTAACTACCGGAAGCTCTTTCAACTCATCCAAGCCACTGGCAGCAAGAAGTCTGGTGTGAGCGAGATCATCTGTGAAGATGACGGGATGCCAATCACTAACATCCATCGGCGTCTTGTACGATGGGAAGAATTTTTTGAAGGGAAGTTCAACTGGCCTGCTGCTGCGGCAGCATCGGTCAGACTATCCTGCCCTCCATGGCCGGTAACGACTGATCCACCAAATGAGGCGGAAGTCCGCAAGGAACTCCAACTCTTGAAGCTCTACAAACCACCGGGCCCAGATGACTTACCTCCGGCTGTTTTTAAAGATGGTGGTGACTTTCTGACTAAGGAACGGACGACGTTGTTTACAAAGGTGTGACAGCTAGAGAGCGTACCAACGTCATGGAGTGAGTCGATAGTTGTCCCTATCTTTAAAAAGGGTTCACGTCGTTCCTGTAACAACTATCGGGGGATAAATCTACTCCCGATTGCGTCCAAGCTATTGGCTTTTGTCATACTTTGTAGGTTTTTCAAAACCCGAGAAAGATTGACCTGCGAGAAGCAGGTTGGGTTTCGTTCCGGTCGATGATGTATTGATCATATCTTCACCCTCCGCATAAGTGCTGGTGGTGGCGTGAGTGATGAGATCAATGCACGTATAGTGAAAGCCAGAGCGGCTTATGCCAATCTGGGCCATCTTTGGCGCCTTCGTGATGTTAGTCTGGCTGTAAAAGGTCGGATCTGCAACGCGTCGGTGAGAGCAGTTTTGCTCTATGTTTGTGAAACCTGGCCTCTCCGAGTTGAGGACGTTAGACGACTCTCTGTGTTCGATCATCGTTGTCTCCGAAGAATTGCTGACATTCAGTGGCAACACCATGTTAGTAATGCAGAGGTTCGGCATCGTGTGTTCGGGCACAGAGATGAGAATGTAATTGGTGTCACCATCCTGAAACACCAACTTCGGTGGCTTGGACATGTTCTACGAATGTCGTCCCAGAGAATTCCACGTTGCGCATTAGTTGTCGACTCTGGGACTGGTTGGAAGAAGCGGAGAGGTGGTCACTGTATGACATGGTGTCGTAGTATGAAAGAAAGCTGCAAAGGGCTGGCTTGTGTTGGTCCTTCACGACTCCCTGGTTGGGGTCCGAGAGATGGTGCAGCACAGTGGCTAGAGACGTTATCAGATATGGCTCAGAATAGAAGCCCGTGGCGATCGTGCTGTAACCCTCTTTTACTTTCTTCGTAAAAAGTGGTTGCTTCTTCCTTAACTGAAAGATTTCTTCTGACTGTACCTTTTCGTTCCCCCCATTGTTATTATAATTACACTACCTTACACCAATCTGTTCGTTATTGTCCTTTTTTCTACACTCCTTACCTTTTTTCCTTCTCTTTAAATTCTCATTGTTTTGTGTGGCGCATATATATTTAGTGCCCTCTTGTACCAATATTTGTGTTCAAATAAATAAATTAAAACAGGTTTCAGAAATATCTTCTGGTCATAAATGTCTTGATGTTTGTAATAATATCAGTGAGATAGATATTAAAATAAGTTTGCATGCTATATGCATATTGTTCCTATTTGCCCCCAAATGCCCTGGTACAGCCGAGAGTGGGGAGAGTCCGCTCTCCCTCTTGAAATGCTCTAACATGGCCACGCCTATATAGCCTCTGCCAGGGAAGTCCTGTTCATTGCCTTTTCGTGGTGGGGGTGTTGTTTGCGAACTTGAGAAGACGAAAAGCGAATGTCCGGCGCTTTAACCGGGTTGGTAGACATGGAGAGTCCACCTATGGGAGTTGGAAAACCCTGATTCTAAACCAATGGTGCACATGGGCTCCAGTATCCTGAGGGAACAAATGGCGTATGAACCAAACGTTGGTAACCGGCTACCATGGGATTGCATCTCCTTACGATGCTCCACTACCTTGTGGATCAGACCTTCAGGTCGAAGGCTCGGGGAGTTGCCCCCTAAGAAAACCACCCGCTTCGGTTTGGGCACCCGGGCAGTATCACAGCCCTCACATATATCAATTGAGATTTGTGTGGCGGATATGTATGTGATGCCTCATTGTACCAATATCTATGTGTTCAAATAATAATATAAAACCTATGCACACATCAGGCTAATGCTCTGCTGGTTGGTTGGTGTTATAAATATTTAAACATTATATATAAAGCGTAGGGTCAAATAAGAGTAAAGGTTGCTTCAGAGTTTAAACGGTGGTAAGTTTTCTGGTAGCTGAACTATATGCAGTTGGTAAATGTATAAGTTACCCTTTTGAACTTCAGTAATGATTATTTTTACGAAATAAGTTAAACAGTAAATACGATGGTTTTTTCGAAATTTTTGTTAAATATAATACTTTCTGTACGTTTGTTTTCTAGGCGCTCAATGCTGAACATGTTAGGGAAACATGCATGAAGTACTTCTTTGATAAATGCCCTGCTGTCGCGTCCATCGGTAACTGTTTTCATAATTTGTTTAATTGTACTGTTAAGTGTTGGCATTCACTTACACAAATATGATAGTTATATTTGCTGTTGGACTATTATTTCAGTTATCAGAACTGGTGTATTTATTAGATATTTATTGGTTTATTTATACAACTGGAATATAAAAGCAGTAAATTTTAGTTACTAGCATATTGTCATCTGAATGTTTGTTCTTGAATTGCTAAGTGTCATATTACTTCACGTAGTTACTTTCGTTTTAAGGACTACTGGTACTACCAAAAGGTGATAGACTTGTATGGCTTAGCGTAAATGAACTGCTTCTAAAAGAGGATTTATTAAAATAATGAGACCGGAACAAAGATTTCTTTTTCCTGACATACCGTCGTATATTTGCGAATAAGCCATAGCAGAGTTGAAGTAATTTCAGGTTTTATGCTTTGTGAAACATGGACAATAAATGCAAATAAGTTGTGCAAAATGGGATGATGTGTATTCACTAACTACAGTCAGTCGACCGAAATTTTACCTATATTTTGCTGGGCTTACGTAGCCTATTTCCATGAAACTTACGCTGACTTACAGGAATTTCGAGATAATTTTGCCGTTTTTCGTAATAATCAGGCAATGTGGTTTGTTTACTAACAATCAGTTGATAAGTCTTACAAGGATACTCCTGCTACGACGAAGATTATTGTAAGTTTGCTAAGGATTTATGTCTGGAAACACCAAATAAAACCTGACGTGTCGTTATTTCGAAGACCATAGGATTTTTTATTGGCTTTGAGTTAATAAACATGGTATTTTAAATATGAACCATATCCGTTACAGTGGATAAGTTTTCGTATAGTTTCAATTCTGTCATATTTATTCGTGTGCTATAATCCGGATATTCCGGACTTAATTATGAAGTTCCGAAAACCATCGTACTTCCTTTTTTCTGTATTCCAGGTCCAGTGGAAACCATGCTTGATTACAATCGTATTCGGGATAAAACTTGGTGGCTTCTTCTATAAAGAAATTGTTTATGTTTAAAATATCAAGTTTTATTGATGTCACTGCTTACAGCCTAATACTTACATAGTTCTGTGATTTCTATTGTACGGTATTATCTTGTGTCTATGTAGCAATATTCGTTTTTTCCTAGAGTGGATTGTTTCGAGGCATAGTTATACTGATATATTTAAACTGTGTTTTGTGTGTATATCTGTCCCCAAAAATCAGTCGTACTATGATACCACGAAACGACTAATAAACGTTGGAAATTTTAATCTAGTACTTCAGGTGCTAAACTCCTGGTGGAGTAATAAAAGTTGGCACAATGGAAAGCATGTAGAATTATTTACCTAGTTATAAAATACATAGTTTCCGAGAGTACAGTCGAACAGTAAATATGTAGTCATAACGTTTAGCATAATATCGATACTACTAAGAGTAGATTCTGAAGTCAAAGGTTCAGTGAACAGAGACAATATTAGGTATATTTTTATTTACTGCACTAATGTTGGGTTCGGATTTTTGTTATTTCAGAAACCCGTACATTTTCAGATCTATAAAATTCCAAATGTTAAAGTCGAACAATCTAAAGTATGTGGTTTTGATGCAGTTGAATAAAGAATTAGGTTAAATACTATAGAACAGCTAAAATGAACAACTGTGTTTGTTAACTCTAGGTAGTCGAACGTTTCTAACTGTAGTTCATTTGCAAACTTGAGAAGTTTAAGTAATTATAGACCATTTAAAAATAAGCATTTATGAGCTCTAAAAGTTACTTTCTTAACCGTCATCACTGTTTTTGTGCTCAAAGTATAACAGTCAATTATATTTCCTTCTATCCCCTCACTGTTTAAAAGAAAAACTTCCTCTCCGAATTCAGGATGTAGGATGTTTCTGACAGAGTTTGTAAGAACGCAGTCTTTTTGGGGCATTAACTATAGGTAAAAGAGGCATCAGTTTCATCTAAAAGAAAATCTTCATTATTGCCACTTCTCTTGACGTATACCCGCTCACATTTTTCTGTGTCAAGCATGATCATATGATTAAATACCCATCAACAAAAACCCCACTGTAGAAATTGCGAAATCTGACAGTTATAATTAGTTAGTAAGATAAAAACAATAGCTGTATCTAACATTAAGTACCTTGTTTAACAATATGGTTATAAAGGTGTCGCTGTGGTCATCATATTTTCCCAAAACTGTTGCGAAAAGATACATCGGATTCAAGTTAATTGTCAAAATATTTTTATTCTGCAGTTACAGAACTTGGGAGTTCGTCAAAAGAAATTAGGTAAAACTCTAACGTTACCTGGTAAATTTCGGCAACAAGCAGTGTTTCAAATAAAGGTACTAACAGTTGCTCGATAGTCTATTCAGTGAGAGGTCAACCGGTTTGCGTTTAATGACCCATTCATACCCCTCTAAGATGTTAAGTTGGAGCAGTAAGGGGATATTTAGTAGTCGTCTTCGATGGGCAGTCATTGTAATGTAAATCCAACTAAGTATACCTTTTTGTAACTCTTGTGTGAAGTACTTCATTTTCTCATCGGCAGTAGTTGTTCCATAGGAAATTGGTAACGATGGTGCAATGATATAGTCGGTAACGACACATGGTGAGTATCCTTAGGCTAAAGTTGAGGTTGGTTATTATTTATTTGAACACAAATATTGGTACAAGAGAGCGCCAATATATATGAGCCACACAAAACAATGAGAATGCGAAGAGAAATAGAAAAAAAACTAAGGAGCGCAAAAGAAAAAGAGAACAATAACGAAGAGAAGAGATTGGTGTAAGGTAGTGTGGTAGTAACGAGGTACAATCAGAAGAAATCTTTCAGGTAAGGGAGACATAACCACTTTTTATGAAGAAAGTAAAAGAGGGTTACAGCACGATCGCCACGGGCTTCTATTCTGAGCCATATCTGATAACGTCTCTAGCCACTGTGCTGCACCATCTCTCGGACCCCAACCAGGGAGTCGTGAAGGACCAACACAAGCCAGCCCTTTGCAGCTTTCTTTCATACTACGACACCATGTCATACAGTGACCACCTCTCCGCTTCTTCCAACCAGTCCCAGAGTCGACAACTAATGCGCAACGTGGAATTCTCTGGGACGACATTCGTAGAACATGTCCAAGCCACCGAAGTTGGTGTTTCAGGATGGTGACACCAATTACATTCTCATCTCTGTGCCCGAACACACGATGCCGAACCTCTGCATTACTAACATGGTGTTGCCACTGAATGTCAGCAATTCTTCGGAGACAACGATGATCGAACACAGAGAGTCGTCTAACGTCCTCAACTCGGAGAGGCCAGGTTTCACAAACATAGAGCAAAACTGCTCTCACCGACGCGTTGCAGATCCGACCTTTTACAGCCAGACTAACATCACGAAGGCGCCAAAGATGGCCCAGATTGGCATAAGCCGCTCTGGCTTTCACTATACGTGCATTGATCTCATCACTCACGCCACCACCAGCACTTATGCAGCTACCCAGATACACGAACTTCTCGACTACGTCTATCTGCTCACCATCCAGGGTGAGTACAGGATTGGAATCCTGCCAGTCTTGTAGAAGTACTTTGCACTTCGAAGGTGCAAAGCACATACCATACCTACGGACACTGATTGCCAACTGATTAAGTGCGGATCGCGTGGGTTGGGCATTATCGCACAGTAAGACAATATGGTCCGCATACTCAAGGTCGAGAAGTCTTTCTCCAGGCAACAGATTCACACCACCATTACTTACATTCATCAGAGCTGTTTCCAGAATGTCATCGATGGCAAAGTTGAAGAGGAATGGTGAGATTGGGCAACCCTGCCTAACCCCACTGCTCGAATGGAACAATGGAGAGAGGTGGTTGTATGCCCTCACTCTGCCTGAGGTGTTTGTATATAGGGCTTTTAGGGTGTTTATAAACTTCACAGGCAAACCCTTCTTCAATAGACAATCCCAGAGAACAGTCCTGTCCAATGAATCGAGGGCAGCCCTGATGTCAAGAAACACTACGATTGTTGGCCTTTGATAAGTATGGCGGTGTTCTAACATTTGGCGGAGCATCGTATGGAGATGCAATCCCATGGTAGCCGGTGACCAGCGATTGGTTCATACGTCATTTGTTCCCGCAGGATACTGGAGCCCATGTGCACCATTGGTTTGGGATCCGGTTAAAGCGCCGGACATTCGGTTTTCGTCCTCTCATTTTCGTAAACAACACCCCCACCACGAAAAGGCAATGAGTAGGACTTCCCTGGCAGAGGCTGTATACGCGCGGCCGTGTGAGAGTATTTCTAGAGGGAGAGCGGACTCTCCCCACTCTCGGCCGTACCAGGGCATTCGGGGGCAAAAACAGGCCAACTTTCTCAGCTGGATGTACCTGCACCTCAGAGTTGATGTTTACTCTGGGACTCGAACTCAGTACCGTTCGCTTCAAACGCCATCGCGTTATCCACTTTGCTACTGAGGTTGGACGAATATTTCTGTACTTTTAGTGAGCAGCTGTTATGTGTTTAAATGAAGGGGTTATTTATGTACATTTTAGTAGTGATCACTTCAGAGACAGGGTCATTTGACAAAGTAATATTGAATTCGGCATACACTTATGGCGTGTTGACTTGGTTACAGATAATACTAACTAGTTAATAATAATGTTACCATATTTCATCAATCGGGAAACAAATGAGTACAACAGTTGTTCTATTGAATGAATGCTAGTCACTGTTGTTTTTCGTACATAACAACGAATCGGGATTTTAGGTGTTATGACATTTTTTCAAATACGATCAATGGTTTACAATATATCACTTTATATTTTAAATCGTAAAACAAACGGCGTGAAGTTGAGCAACGAGATTACATAATTTATATCAAGTATTTGATTTGTCACATTCCAGTTTATGAATGTAACAATTTGTTTTTAATTCATACCAATAGTATGTCATACCACTTGATAAAACTTTCTTCTTTAACTAGTAATCGATTCACCGTGCTGTTTGGAAACTGATACAAGAGTAAGCTTGAATAGCAAAAATGATTCGGCAATTTACTCAAAAAATTTTCATTAATTTTGTTCTCATTTTAATTCGACTACAGTATTGTTTTTTATGCTTATTGAAGCACTGATATCTTGTTCGTTTATTGAGTAAACGGTCTGATATTTACAAGTCGAATTCTATGGTCACTTGTAAGTTAGTTCGGGAATTAGTTTACTATTTATCTACCGTTTCTCCATAATACTTATTGTAAATTTCTAATGGAAATCTACAGATTGTGAGATGACTGTAAGAATATATGTACACTAATCAAGTTGAAAGACGGTGACCATGTAATAAGTTAAGTGAATTTGATAAGTGATAGGTTACAGTGTCTAATTCAAAAGTTAATGTGGTTATCACAAGAGAGAAGTTTTATATTCTATCCCAACGAAGAATCTGTAGTAAGAACTTTTATAGAGTTCCAAATCAAGTCAAAATAACTTGAGAGTATCATCAGGTTTGTTAAAGGAATATTATCAGATGTAAAATATGGAACACGGAAACAAAACATCTGATGACTTGTTTACGAAAAAAGAATGGGTGTTACTTTTAATTGGAGGTAAAGTGTTCCGATAAATTCACTAAAAGTTTAAGCACCTCAGAACAGATTAAAAAATAAACTCACATATGTAATGATTCACATTAATAATGGGAAGAGTGCTTGCTTCAAAAATCATATTAGCATAATGGGATTCATTAACTAGGTAAAGGTTTATGTACTTTGTCCTCAGCCACGCTTTACGTGAGGGGCACTGGCAATATATTACTACCCAAAGCGAGTAACATGAAGTTCGTATCTACTAACGATTACTTTAAATCTAGGTACTGTAAAGAACAAGCCGCTACCTTATGGAATATAGAAGGTAGAGATCTTCATCTCTTTAGTTCTATCCCCAACAGAAATATTATTTTAGAATGGGAAAGCTTAAAAACTTGAGGATTGTTTGAAGTAGTAGAGCTCGTTGTAACTGATCTTTTTAGCATTTATTTATCGTCACACTAAGAAAGTTACTATTTATGCCGCCTAAGATAAGTCACTTGCAAATAGAAAGACATACATTAAAAGTTATTGATAGTTATCACTACTTTTGTTACGTGGTGAGGGAGAGTTTGTGTTTCTATTTTTCAAAAAATATTTTCTGTACTAAGGCCGTTAATACTTATCGAATATATTATGGACTTCTCTAGAAAAATTTATGTAATTGGAGATACTTGAAAAGGTAGTAAGCGGTATATTATTATAATTACAGCGAATACGATTACTGCACTAAAAGCCGAGAAAATGAAAACAGCCTGTTTCCTCGTTTGATAAGTAGATGTTAACTTTTTACACCAGCGTTTTGCTTATATTTGTAAGTTATTTCTCTACCTTAAAAAAATATGTACAAATAATTCATGGTACGATATGTTAAATAGAAATGCTAACTTGATGTCATTATCAACGAATAATTTTTCTTTTCAATCAACTTACCATTCACATTAAAGTTAAATGTTTACTTTTAGATCCTCATCAGGCTTTACTCTAATATTACAGTAATATTTATATGCATATACGAAATTATTTAACCAATCAAGACAGTTTATGAGTCAATGATGACAGTGGAATAGATTACATAAATAAGTGAAAGGTGTAAATTGGTAGTGTGATGACAGGTGTACTAGTTGTGATAAGAATAATAAAGGCTTGAATCAATTTTACAAATCAAATGTTACTTTATGTTTACACACGTATAAAGTTGGAAATATAAACTTTTGTTACCTAACTAAATGGTTTCAACACATCGTTCTCTTTTAAGGATATAAAGGCTGTAACCTAGATTGTGTGTAAAATATATGCGCACTAATTAGTTGTCTCAGATTAAAGTAAAATGGTTGTTTAATATCCACTAAGTTGCAATAATTCTCTATCTGATATCATTTTGTGATGAAAACTAGTTACAAAATGGGTAATCATAAACTTTTTTTACTTGTATAAATATAATTTACTCATTCTAACTTAAACACAATTAGTGGATAGAAATCAGTTTTAAAAGTAATTGTCATTTTTTTAATAATAATAAATACCAATAATTGTTTCACAGGTTGAAATCATGAGTCAATTGAAGCTAGACCACCATAGAAAACCTGGAAACACTGGACGGCCGTTTCGTCCCAGTATGGGACTCCTCAGAAGTGCGCATCCACGATCCCGCACCACGCGGGGCTCGAACCCAGGACCTACTGGCTTCGCGCGCGAGCACTTAACGAATAGACCACTGAGCCGGCATCCGACGGTGTTAATCTCTAACTTCAACCAATCCACGAAGTTGCGCCACCGTACATCATTATCTTTAGTGAGCTGATATCTCACAACAGACCTGGTTGAACTCCACTGGTAACGGCTTCTCACTAGAATTCCAGAAGTATCTCCTAAATCCCACGGGGTACGGGATCGTGGATGTGCACTGCTGAAGAGTCCCATACTAGGACGAAACGGCCGTCCAGTGCTTCCAGGTTTTCTATGGTGGTCTAGCTTCAGTTGACTCATGATTTCAACCTGTGGAATTTCTAAAAATCTCCACAAAACCCATTCTGATAATAATTGTTTATCACTAAAATATTGAACTATATTAGAGTTCAGTTACACTAACATTATTCATCTTATCGTGTTCTGAAACTTTTCTAATATTCTATTTACCACCTCTTGGTTAACCATAAATAAAGTTTGCCATAATTTTAAACCAATACGATTTTAAAACTAACGACAATATGAAATTAGTTGACCAATGAAAAATAGCGATATTTTTCTAATGTTATAAACTATCAAATAAGTTTCATTGTTTATTTTCTTTAAAAAAAATTCTACTGAACTCATGTTTACAATGATAAAAAGTATGAGATTTACACACAAATAACTAATTAAAAATATTTGTTTAAAATGTTAAGGATCATGCATATTTTTATTTTAATTGCATTACTTTCTTCATGAAAAGATCACTGGAGATAGTGTTATCGTCAAGAATAAAATAAATGACATTTTCAAATTAAAAATGGATACTTTAAACATAAGTTGTAGTCAATTACATACAATCAATTCTACAAATTCATCATTTAAAATGATTTTATTTATCAATATAAAATTTTTTGCAATTATTGTTCAATTAATTGGGATACCATTAAACTTATTTGTATTACATGGATTACTCAATGTGAAGTTAGGATCACGTTTAACAACACTACTATTATGTAATCAATGTGTATTTGATTGTCTTATTTGTACATTTGCTTTATTAAAAATATTAAAATCTGAACGTTGGTATACAGGTTATATAATTATTGATAGTGTACTATGTTACGTGTGGTTTAGTCACACATTATTTTGGCTGGTTGTATTACTAAGTTTAAGTAATATGATGTGTACAGCTTTAGATCGTTTAGGAGCTGTTGTTTGTAGTCGTACATATCAATTACGTCAAAATATTTACATAATATTATCATATACAAGTATTTCAATTTACTCATTAATATTAATCGCTATCAATCCATTATTATTACAATATCGTGATCAGAAATGTTATGATACTATATTATATGATAAAAACTGGATATATATATTAATGAAAGTGGATTCTATATTGTGGCCATGTCTTACTTATTTATTTCCATGTGTTTTAACTGTCAGTGTGTATGGAAAAGTTATAGGAGTGTTGAAAAGTACAACATTTCGCCATCAATATAATTATTATAATAATAATAGTTTTAGTACTGCTATCAGTATTAATAGTAGTACCAACAACAGTTGGACACGTAAAATATCAAGTCATAAATTAACTGTATCCTATGCTAAACAAAAAAGATATCGTAAAATTGCTCAGTCTTTAACAATAGCTACATGTATTATGCAAACAATATTTTTAATAACGCATTCATATGACAGAATTTATTACTTTCTTGGTATACATCGATGGATACTTTATCAAATTGATTGTACAACTCATTTAATTGGTTTATGGCTTGTAACACTGAATAGTTGCATTAATCCAAGTACGCTTATATTTATTGTACGCCCATTACAAATCCATCTTATTCAAACCATTAATCAGTGTTTTTGTAAATATTCAAAACGATCCAATATGCAAACATCAACAAATTATTTAAGTGAACAACAATCTGAAACGTGTTTAAGCAGAACAGAATTCGGAAATAGGTCAAATGGAATTGAATCATAATCAAGTATCCTGTCTAGAAAAAATTCAATACTATGAGAAAAAACATTTTCTAGTAGGTTTCTATATTCAGTGGTGTACTCTTTAAATCCCTTGCAAAGGTAGCTTTCTATTGGTGAACATCAACAATGAAATAACAGTTATTGAGATAAAAAATTTTCTAAATTGAGCAAATGAGTGTTATAATTTTCTAATTTCAATATTTAGCTGAATGTGTATGTGATACCATTGAGGCATTTATTACAAAAGAGAGATACATGAATATAATAATTATTATTACTTCTTGTATGTTATGAGAAAACTGAAAGATTTGCTAGTATTCCTACAAAGCTTATCAGCATTATTATAGGAACGAAATTTAATTAATTAATTTCACTTTCTTTGTTAGTAAACATTCAATCCACATTTTGTGATGAAAATTAATTTTTTATGATTTAATTAATTAAGTCAATTAGTCAATTACGTTTCAAGTTATAAATCAGAGTACCGATTTTAGATTCTATATGGCTCGTAACCGGCAGAATTAATTTCCTATTATCATTATTCAAAATGACTTGGCAACAAGATGTTCAACTAAGTCTGAACTCAATACAATGTATTAATCTATTTTTAATTAGAGTGATAACTTTACAATTATTATCACATACATTAGAAAGTTATATCTAGTTTGAATATTTCTTGGAAACTTTATTTAAAATACTAAACATTAATTTGTCATAATAGTTTTTCCTGTTTCACTTTCAAATCTATCACATTGTCACTGGTAGAAAAAATAATATTGTCAGTTTAATGTTATCTTACTGATTTTGGACAAATTGATGAACGAACACCTCTATATCCAGTGTACAAAGTGAAGTTTTCCCTTATAACAATGAAAATTGAGATAGAAATTATTCTAGAATATTTTGTCGGTTACTTGAAGATTGTAGTCACGTCATCCATACCATTTCATAAAAGTTTACCAATTAAAAGTGTAATATTCAATAACACTCATTTAGTCATAATGACTTGTTTACATTAGCAATTGTATTGATTTTAGCATTTCGATCATATGCCTGTACTAGATCGTCAGTCGGTCAATTTTAAGCAACTTTTCAGGTTGCTATGTCAGCATAGTTAGATGATAATATCAAGAGGGTGTCAGAGTACTAGTTTTACTGCTAGTAACAGTATTAGTAGTAGTGGAAAACATTAAAGACAGACAATATAATTCTAGAAGACAGAAACAACTAGTTGAGTTCAAAGTATATAACAGTTTTAAAACCCAAAATCTAAGAAAAGACAAAAGATGAGTGCACCTGCTCTTTTGCGACCGATTGTCAACCGTATCATTTTCTTCAATCATTAATTATATTAGTTGTGAAGACAAAAATTAGGAATTCTGTACCTAACAACAAGGCTCAATCCAGCAGTCAATGATTTTATGAACTAATGTTAAATCTTGATTCAAGTGCCCCCAAATTTCTTCCAATCCACTCCTACCCTAGAAAACATCACTTTTGGAGGTAAGTGATGGTTGAACATACGTTATACATGACCCAACCATCTCAGTTGACACATATTCACTATCCCATCAGACTACTTGTCATCTTTACCGGTTACTATGCACTCAACCTTATCAGCGGAAAGTTCTTAATCCAAGAGTTCTGAAGTTAATTGTGCTGGATGGCTTGTGGAAATTAGTTCAATTTGAAACTAGATCTTAACACTGATTAATATTAATTTGGAGAATTATGTTAGGAATGAAACATAATGAATGATCGCATGAGACGACATAAGCTGGATATGTGGGGTCCTCGGTTTACATCACTCAAAAGCCTTAAAATGAATCGAACTATCTGTTTGTTCAACTCTTCTTGTTTTCTAATGTTTTTCTGGCTAATGTCACCACTCAGCAGAAGCGATCTTCAAATTATAGATTTAATCTTAGCAAAACTTTAAAGAACATTTGTAAAATGATTGTTAAACACCTTGGTTTTGCTCATTATTCTTGGCAAAATAAGTTTTATATATATATCTTATTTCCGCCTGCTACCCTTCGTGGGGGAACATGGACTGCCCACCAGCACTTTCCAACGAACTCTGTCCTGGGCAATCGTTTCCAGTTTCCATTCATCCTTTTCATGTCTCCTTCCAATTCTCGTATCAGTGAGTTCTTTGGCCTTCCTCTTTCCCGTTTCCCTACACGATTCCATGTTAGAGCTTGCGCCGTGATGCAATCTGATGATTTCCTCAATGTATGTCCTATCCACTAACCCCAACGTATTTTCCGGATTTCCTTCTCAACTGAAACCCGGTTTGTTCTCTCTCACACTAGGCTGCTGCTGATGGTAACTTGCCAACAAACATTCAGTATATTGAGTAAACAATTGTTTATAAATACTTGTACTGTTTTGATGGCGGTTGTGGTAGCTCTCCATGTTTCGGCTTCATATAGTGGAACCGTCTCGACTTTCTTATTGAAGATTGTGACTTTTACATTGGTTGACAGTTGTTTTGAGTTCCATGTGTTCGTCAACTGTAGGAATTCTATCCTTGCTTCGCCAATCCTTGCATTCACATCTTCATTAGATCCTCCACATCTGTCGCTGATGCTACTTAGATACATAGAAGTTTCCACCCCTTCCAGAGTTTCTCCATCAAGTCTGAATGGTTTGGTGTTCTCTGTGTCGTACCTCAGGATTGTGCTTTCTAAATTGTGTATGTCGAGGCCTGTTGATGCAGAGACTGCTGCTGTTACACTGTGTGACTTGAATTACATTTGTTTGTGTGTATGGGATAGAAGAGCCAGGTCGTCTGCAAAGTCTAAATCGTCTAGTTCCGTCTAACATATCATTTTATTCCGTGCTTCCCGTCAGGTGTGGAGGTCTTCATTACCCAGTAAACCACAAGGATAAAGAGAAAGGAGGAGAGTAGGGAGACTTGTCCGACTCCGGTCCTCACTTGGAATGCATCTGTCAGTTGACTTTCCAGTGTAGTCTGTCGTATGAATTCCAGATAATGTTGAAGGTCTTCTTGTGTACTCCATAGTGTGGAAGAAGTTTCCACAATGTTATCCTATCCACACTGTGAAATGTGTTCTCATAATCAAGGAAGTTGATGTATAGCGGTGAGTTCCATTCAATTGATTATTCAACGATGATACGTAGTGTCGCAACTCGGTGTGTACATCACCGATATTTACGAAATCCGGCCTGTTGGTCTCGAAGTTGGAAGTTTACTGAATATTCCATCTGGTCCAACAGCACTCTGTTGAAAACGTTTCCCGGCACTGATAGTAGTATGATGCCACTGTTGTTCTCGCACTTGCTGAGATCTGCTTTGTTTGGCATCTTGATAAGAAATCCATATTTTCAGTCTGTTGAGACTTGTTCTTCTTCCTTAATCTTTCTGAATAGGACGTTGAGTACACTTGCAGTTACTTATGTGTTTAGCTTCAGTGCTTCAACTGGCATATGGCAGGTCCTGCTGCTTCCCCACTGTTGATTTGTCTGACGACCATCCTGATTTCTTCGATCGTTGATGGAGTGACAGATATAGGGAGATCTGTGTGCACTGCTTCAGTGTCTGGTGGATTCATTGGAGCCGGCCTATTCAGGAGTTCCTCAAAGTCCTTTGCCCACCTGTTCCACCGATCTTAAATCTCAATGATTGGCTTGCCTTCTTTGTCCTTGACCGGTCTCTCTGGTTTACTATATTTCCCTGCCAGTTTCTTTGTTGTGTCACATAGTCGTCGCATATTTCCTTTTCTTGAGGCTTTTCCACTATCGTTGCCAGGTCTTCCACGTATACCAGCTCCCTGGTTCTAATGTTCTTCTTCACTTGTTTGTTCGCTTCAGTGTATTCAGTCCGTGTCTCTACTTTCTCTGTTCCTGTTCAACTGTTGTTAATAGCCGTCTCCGTGGTTTCGCTTGCTTGAATCTTGCACAGGGCTTGAATGGAGATCCATTCCTTATAAGGATGCTTCTTGAGACCCAGAACCTCTCGACACGTTGAAGTTTGTGCTCCTTTGATCCCTTCCTAGTTGTCCTCCATAGTAGTTTCTTCTTTTTTCATTAGATCCTATAAAGCTTTCAACCTGTTGTTGAGAGTTATCTTGAATTCGTTGAGTTTGTTAGTATCTCGAAGGAAGGCTGTATTGAACCTTCATAATGCTGTTTCTCCAGTTGTCCAATGCTTCTTTAGCTTTAGTTTCATCTTGGCCATAACTAGGTGGTGATCTGAAGCTATATCAGTACCTCTCCTGGTTTTCACCTCTTCTATTGACCTGAATAGTTTGGTCATGCGAATACGATCGATCCGGTTCTGTGTAGTGTAATCCGGTGATGCTCATGTAGCATTGTGTATGCGTTTGTATGGGAATAGTATGCCGCCTATAACCAATTTGTTGAATGCACATAAATTTGAAAATCTCTCACCATTCTCATTCCTTTCTCCCAGTCAGTTCATGTAGTCCCATGTTATCTTCATAACCGTTGTTGTCAATTCCGACTTTGGCGTTTAGATCTATCATCAGGACAGTCAGGTCCTTTCTTGGGCACTTCGCCGTGATCGATTGCAGCCTCCCATAAGACTGATCTTTATTGTCGTCATTGCTATCATTGATGGGTGCATAACATTGGATAACATTCACTGTAATTCCCTTCTTATTTGTTTCGATGATCCTGGATCAGTGAGATTCCCACCCAATAAGTGCGTTTCGTTCTTCTTTGGATGGCACCAGAGCAACTCTCTGTATGCGGAGAATTTTCTTCTTAACCAGAAATAACAACGACTCTTTCGAATCTATCTTTTTCTGTCCAATAGGTTTTACTGGTTCGGAGAACCGTCATGTTGTATCTCCTAATTGCAACAGCTATTTGATTGGTCCTTCTAGTCTCCCACATTGTCCGAACATTCCATATACCTATATTAATTGTTTCTCCAGTTGTTAGAAGAGGCTTCAGTCTTGTGATTTCCTAAAAACCTCAGCTTCCATCATGAGGCGTCAGAATTCTTCCTTC